GCTAGTGCATGGCTTGTTTTGCCTGCCTCTGCTTTGGCTTGCTTAAGGGCAAGGTAGTTCTCGGACGGTTTTTCTGCCTAGGTGATGTCTTTTTTCACCTCTCGGGGGGTATTGTCCTCCTTCCTTTGTCTTCCTCGGGCAAATCTCGTATGTTGGCCCTCCTTGCCTTGATGTGGTTAGTCATGGGAGTTTCACATTTTTGGGCTCTGTTTTGCAGATTTGTTAGGTAGCCACCTGGTCAATGGTGCATGCCTTTCTTCTTTTTATACAGGATGTTGTTGCTTCTGTAGATGACTGTTTTGGCCGCAAGGTTTTTGCTGGCGGCCGTTAAGTTGTGAGGGTGCCTCCTTTTTCTTCTGTTTGGTTTCCCACCCCTCATTTCTCACTGCTTTGGGACGTCCCTTCCGTAAAATGAAGATTCGTCTGTGTCCTTCAATGAATGTAAGAGAAAATAGGATTTGTTTAACTCGCCGTGAAATCCTGTTCTCTGAATTCATTGAAGGACATGGCTCCCTCCCCTCTGGAGTTGTCTGTGCCTTTTTGTTGCTTCTCTACTGCTTTGTTAATAACTGAGATACCTCTAACAAGTGGGGGGTTGAGCCACCAGCAGGGCCGTCCCCAGGACTGTGCCTTTGTTGTTTTTTCTGCCAAGCGTCCTAATCCTGCAAGTGACATATAACCCTTCCGTAAAATGAAGATTCGGCTGTGTCCTTCAATGAACTCAGAGATATGGATTTTACAGTGAGTTAAAAAATCCTATTTTTTCATGGTAATTCCTTTTCATCCAGCCTTGAGTCATTTACTTTTTTTTTCTATATTGGTTTTGGATGGAGTAGGGGAGATTTAAAACATATATATTTTAGGTAATTTGCTGTCTTTATATTCTTGGGGAGATTTCCACTTACTCTCTGTCCTGAAGCCACAACATGAAGTTAGGCTAAATCCCCCAAAGCAAAGAGGGATCCCCTTCGACAGTTGACACCAGAACAGTGTTCCAATTGGAAGAGTTAGCTTCCTGTGTTATAGTGACAGCTGTGAAATTTTGGATTTCCCTACACTTCTCAGGGACAATGGTTATAAGCACAAATCGTAAGGCCTGGTTCACACCTGGGCGTTTTACAGCGCGTTCCTACACGCTGTAAAACGCTCAACATGTGAAAACCAATGATTGCCTATGGGCATGGTTCCCACCTGAGCGTTTTACAGCGCCTAGGAACGCACTGCAAAACACCCTACGCCCAAAGAAGTACAGGAGCTTCTTTGTGGCGTTTAGCCGCGCGTTGCCATTGGTATTCCCGAGTGTGGATCGGGGTTAACAAAGCGGTAACCCCGAGCCACACTCGGGAATACAGCCTACAGGTCTTACCTTGTACGCGATCCCCGATGTGTCTTCGGCGGCTGCCGACTTCCGGGTTCCGTTCCTTGCGAGCAGCTGCATCGCAGGGGGCGGAGCCGGCGGGAAGTTTAAAAGTGAAACTATTTTTTTAAAATAGAGAAATTAAAGGGGAAAAAAAAATCATACCGCCAGTGAAACACGTGTTTCACTGAACGAAAAAAACAAGCTCAAAAACTAACATTAAAAAAACGCTCAGGTGTGAACCCAGCCTTAGGGGTAGGATGTCCCTAACGGGGACACCAATAACAGTAAGAACTTTTGCAGAGGTTATTACTCTTCCCCCCCTCTACCAAAACTTTAAAAAAACCTTTGCCTCTACATAGACTTTGTAGCACAACAAAGCTCTCTAAAATCACATTGATCAGAACTGCATATTTTTTGTGACACCCTACACCAAATTATGGGTTTATTTACCCTCTATAAAGTATGAGCCAAGGAATGGGAGTCAATGGATGCTGAAAACAAGCAATAGTCTCATATGCCCTAGGCATAGAATATACCACTGAGTTAGCTCTGTAAACATAACCTAATTCCACAAATGCTAAATGTTGCGTGAAATGCATGTACTGTGTATCTTAGCTCACCACATTGAGCATCATTTCCTTCCTCCCTGTTTATGCCAAATAATCATATTGTATCAGTAGCTGTTCAAGAAATACGGGATCATTTGAATTCTTGCAGACACAGTTTGCAGCCCTTACGTAAATTTTTCTGTGTTTAGCATAAGGTATTTTACACAAGATCAATTTTCCCTGGCTCTTAAAGTGTATGTAAGCTGTAATCTATTTATCAGTATGTCTGGCATCATGCCTTGTTGTACAGTTTTCTTAAAGGAGAACTATGGGGTCAGTGTTTTTCCCCATAGTTCTCCTTAGGGTAACGGGAGGACACAAACTAGCGTTACCCTAAACTCCCGTTACCCTAAACTCAGTATACCGCGAGCTACAGCTCGCGGTATACTGAGACGCCGCAGCCGGAGCGGATCCCGACGTAGATGACGGGATCCGGCCAGCTGCGTGAGTGACAGCTGGCTCTGCATATCTAGAGGCAGAGCCAGCTGTACCCGCCCCCTCCCCCGTCCGTTCCGCCAGTCAGCGCTGGCAGATCGGAGCGGGGAGAGGGGAATCCAGCCCCTCCCCCTGTCATGGCAGAGAGCCGTGACAGGATCGAGAGGTGAGCGAACCTGGTAGGTGTTCGCTCACCTCCCGATCTACTCAGCCGACCTGTGACCAGTCTCATTGTCACAGGTCGGCTAGAACTATGAGGTGAGTGGAAATCACTAATCTCATAGTTCTCCTTTTAAGCAAATTGTTTTTGGGAATCTATTGCAAAGTTCCTTACCTTGACTATTTTGATTTTGTCAGTAACAGCACTTCCTGTTGCAGGCTGACAAGACTAAACCACTGCCTTGCAATTAGCAGCAGCATGTGTCCGTCTGCCCTTTTTGTGAGCTCCTTTGGTTGGGTCTATCACATAAGCAGCCCAAAGGCCAGCTGAAGGGGCTTGCACATGGTAGCTAATTAGAAAGCAGTAGTTTATTGTTGAGAACTTGCATCATGGACTGCTGTTACTGGCAGGATCTCCAGGTAAGGAACTTTGCAACAAATTGAGAAATTAAGCCAATCATACTGAAAAACAGACACACTTTAAGTCTCTCGGCAAAACTGAGTTTCTATCATAATGTTGTAGAAGAAAGCTTTTGGTGATAACCAGGAATTATTGAAAAGTTTTGTTTCAGAACTTAAAATGCAGAAAGGCACAGAAAGGTTCTTAACCTTAGGTCTATTTGTCCTAGGGATGTCCCGATACCACTTTTTCAGGACCAAGTACAAGTACTTCCCAGCATGTACTTGCCGATACCAATTACCGATACTTTTTAATAAAGGGACAGGTGACTTTAAATGATCCATAGTACAACTACATGTTATATACTATGGATCATGATTTAACCTATTCATGTTAGCAGGGGAGAATTGTAAATCTATTGCTGGAGTGTAGTGGAGGTGTGTGCTGTATATATGTACTACATGTACATTACACACGTCCAGTACACTATAACAATAGATTTACAGCCAGCCCCGTCCCAGCTTCCCTCACTCACAGCTTCACTGCGATCCATGTTGCCTCACGCGGTGCAGGGCAGGATTGCTGCATCGTATCTCGGTGCTCAGCTTATGGGAGGCACTCACAATTCTGCCCTGCTAAAACTAATAGGTTAAATCATGGTCCATAGTACATATAAAGCACATACGTCCAGTACACTGCAGTAATAGAGTTACAATTATCCCCTGCTAACATGAATAAGTTAAATGATCCATAGTACAACTACATATTGTACTATTATGTACTACGGATCATTTAATCCATTCATATTAGCAGGGGATAATTGTGATTGTGCAGTGGACTGGACATGTGTAACATACATGTATTACGTGCTACATATAGAGTACACACTGCAGCAATAGATTCACAATTATCCTCGGCTAACATGAATGGGTTAAATGATTGATAGTACATAACATGTAGTTGTACCACGGATCATTTAACCTATTAATATTAGCAGAGAATAATTGTAAATCTTTTGTCTGCAGTGTATGCTCTATATGTACTACATATAGAGTACACACTGCAGACACTAGAGTTACAATTCTCCCCTGCTAACATGAATGGGTTAAATGATCCATAATACAACTACATGTTATGTACTATGGATCATTTAACCCATTCATATTAGCTGGGGAGAATTGTAACTCTATTGTCTGCAGTGTGTACTCTATATGGAGCATACACTGCAGACAAAAGTTTTACAATTATTCTCTGCTAATACTAAAATGTTCTTAATAGGGACGGCGCTCCCTTGCCCCCCTTGCCCTCGCCCTCACTCACTGTTCTGATGATGGCCGGTGCCTCCCTGGTGAGGTCGTCTTCGGCGCTGTGCAGGAGAGCAGCGGCGAGTCAGCGCTGGTCCGGTGGGAGGAGCTCCAGGTGGGGTCCTAATTTAGCTGTCCGGCGACTGCCGGATCGCCTGCCAGCTAAATTAGGACCCCACTTGGAGCTCCACCCACAGGACCAGCACTGACTCACCACAGCACCTATCTCGAACAGCAGCCGAAAGGTGAGAAAAAAAAAATATAGCGCAAGCTTCGGCGCTATGGATCGGGGCATTTTGACAAGTACTTGTCAAAATGCCCTGTATCGGTCCCAATACCGATGCTAGTACCGGTATCGGGACATCCCTAATTTGTCCCCGATGTCGCCTATTAGTCTGAGCAGCCAATTAGTGTCTCTTCCCACAGAACCTACCCTGGGCCACAATGAAAAGCAGATCAGCAGGCTGATCAGACATGGAGAGAGTTGCTGTGGGGTGATGGGTTATTATCTGGTTGCTCATCTATCCTTTGTTAGATAGTAGACAGAATGAAGGGGGAAGTGGGCCTACAGAATGAAGGGGGAAGTGGGCCTAAAGTCAACAGTAAAAATTAATGTATGTGTATATATTTTTCACCAAGTTATCTTTACAGCATAAAATCAGTATTTGCAAATAACTATTTAAAAGTGGTTTTGTTTTTCTTTTTGTCTTTTCTGCCTCCTTGCATAAAATCAGAATTGATGTGACTGAAGTTCAGATCTTCATAATAATCATGCATTTATTGGCTGTGATCGGTGGACCAGATTTGTGGGAATCAATGGTAATCTGAATGATGTAATTGTTTGCAAATTATCTTTGTTTTAATTTTTAAAATAATTAAAATTAAAAATGTCTAATACTCAATTCACATTTGCTAATTGTGGAACCAATGTTATTGATCTCCTTAGTTTTATGTTCTGTATGTAAACATAGGTATGTCTCACTATGTTCCCATGTCGCCATCTCCCACACTAATCACTAGGGGACTCTTGTATGCTGCTTTTTTATGTTATACCTGTATTTACCAAAGTCTGAAATATTCACACTAGTTGTACATCTTTGGTACACTGGTGAGCTCAAAAGTTTTAAGTAAGGCAGCCTTATGAGACAATATGCTCCTAGTTGAATTCCATCACATCTCATTTTTTATTTTTAACCTGGTATATAGGTTTGGAGATGAGGTATAATGAACATCCCATGTCACTTTATATTGATGTATGTGTCCCCAGTGGGCAGATATCTCCTCACTTCTTGTTTTGCATCTTTGATTTAAATCTCTGAATTGTTTCCTCCATATTTTCCTTTAAGTGAATTCCCTTGTGTTATTTCCTTTTCCTCTTCCGTTCATTAAAGGACAGCTTTTCAGCTTACTCTGATAAGCTTGGACGTCTAACCAATCAATGCATGACAAGTCTTTGAGGAAGTGTCCTCTGATTGGCTAACTCTCTGGCTAACTCTCAATCCTAAGCTCTGCTCACTTGTGAGGCCAGCTATGGTTCAGAGGAAAGGGGGCGCATTAGCCTGGCTTACAGCAGCCAGCGGTGTGTCTGATGTGACTGTAGGCTGCTGTTTTATCGTGTCAGGTGGATTTCTCCTGTTGACCAACAATGTGGCTATATGGCGTTCAAATATCTACCGTTGTGTGTGTATATATACCTGTTTTTATTAATTTAATAAAATAGTTTTACACATGGAGGCGGCGATCTGCTCTTTGTGTTCTATTTACTTGTGCTGTGGGAATCTCTGATCCCTTTTGATGAGCAGCCCCTGAGTGTTTGACGATTGGATTACTGCTGGAGGATCGTCTGAGGCTACCGTCTAGCGCTGAGACGAGTTTTAACGCTTGATCTGAATGTTTCTCCGTGTGCCTTTTCTGTGGCTAGCATTTTATTTTTTCTTCAAACAGGTGTTGACCAAAAACTTTCCTTGAGTACTATCATAGGTTAGGTTTCCGGCTTGGCAATCTTCGTCCGTTGGCATCTTTTTCCTTGATCCATACTTTTATTCAAGGGGTTTCACATATTACCCCTCCTGTGAAATTGCCTTTACTTCTTTTGGGATTGGAATCTTGTGCTTTTTCAGTTTTACAACAGCCTCCCTTCAAGATATTCCTCTGCTAATTTTGTCACAGAAAGTAGCCTTTTTGATGGCCTTACCTTCTGCTTGGAGGGTTTCTGAACTGGCAGCATTGTCTGTCTTGCAAACCTCCTTTTCTAGCTGTACATAAAGACCAGGTGGTTTTTGGTCCACGCTCTTAGTTTCTTTTGAAGGTGGTTTCTGATTTTCATCTCAATGAAGATATTTAACTTCCCTCTTTTGTCCTAAGCATCCTTAAAGGAGAACTATGGGGTTCGGGCTTTTCCCCATAGTTCTCAGGGTAACGGGAGGACACAAACTAGCATCCTCCCGTCACCCTACGCTCAGTATACTGCGAGCTACAGTTCGCGGTATACTGAGGTGCCGCAGCTAAAGCGGATCCTGACCATTATGTCTAGATCCGCCCAGCTGCGTGAGTGACAGCTGGCTCTGCCTATCTAGAGTCAGAGCCAGCTGTACCCGCCCCCTCCCCCGTCCGTTCCGCCAGTCAGCGGTGGAGGATCGGAGGGGGGAATCCAGTCCCTCCCCTGTCACAGCAGAGAGCCGTGACGGGATCGAGAAGTGAGCTAACGCCGCTATGTGTTCGCTCACTTCCCGATCTACTGAGCCGACATGTGACAGTTTCATTGTCACAGGTCGGCTAGAACTATGAGGATGAGTGAAAAGCACTCACCTCATAGTTCTCCTTTAAGAGATAGCCCTTCATTGTTTGAATGTAGTCAGAGCAGCTCACGTTTATTTGGCTGCTACTGGCTGTTTTCGTAAGTCAGATTCCTTTTTTGTGCTTCCAAAGGTTCACGTAGGGGTGAAGGTGCTTCCTCCGCTACCATTTCTCGTTGGATTAGGCAGGATATCGTTCAGGCTTATACCCTTAAAGGTCAAACCCCCTCCCCTTCTGGTTACAGCTCTTTCCACTAGAGCGGTTAGTACTCCTTTCTACAAAGTTGATGTTATTGCATCTGCTGATTTCTTCTTTTGGCTGCAAAGTTTTGCAGTTGGCTGTTTAGTTTGTTTGCGGGTACATTTTTTTTCTATAGCGTTTCTTCCCTGTGATCTGTGTCCTTCAATGAATACAGAGAAAAGGATTTCACTGTGGTTTTTTTCCGATACTCGCCGATACCGAATACAGAGTACCGGAAGTCCCATTCAGGAAGCCAGGCGGCGTGTAGTGACTCGCCACCTGGCTTCGTGATTAGCCGGGAAGCCAGGCAGTGTTTAAAGACCTGCCATCCGGCTTCCCGATTAGCAAGGAAGCCATCCCCATGCATCTCATCACTATGTGATGAGAAAGCATGGAGCCGGCTTGCTGGGCAGCGTGTAATGACGTGAGGTGACGAGGGAGCATGAAGCCGGCTTTCCGGCCAATCAGAAAGCCGGGCGTTGCGTCATTACACGAGGGAGCATGGAGCCGGCTTCCCGGCCAATCAGAAAGCCGGGCGTTGCGTCATTACACGAGGGAGCATGGAGCCGGCTTCCTGATACAGCAAGTATCGGGCTAGGCATCAGAGCATTTGTGCGAGTACGAATTCTCGCCCCAATACTCGCTACCGGCACCGATACCGATACTAGTATCGGTATTGGTGCATCCCTAGTAGGTATTTTAGTAATTAAGATATTGAGTGCTTTATTATGGCTGTTGGTTTTTTTTTTTTTTTATAGAAAACACATTATCATAAAGTTGCCCGTTGATTTTAGGCTCTTAATATTCAAAGTAGTCAGATTATCATATGGTTACTATGTTAGATGCAGTGCTATTCATTCCACCTTTTCTCTGTATTTCTCCTGTTAAAGATTTCAGTGCTGAACATCCAAGTAAAACTTGTTCCAGCCTTCTGTACTGTTGCTGGCACCATATTTTCTTCTATCAATTATTTCCGAGTTATCTTTACCGGTGGTGTTGGGAAGAATGGATCAACAATTGCAGTAAGAATTTAATATCTGGAGAGCTGTGATGTTACCCCTGTAAAATATAAACTATATCTTTAGAGCTGTGATGTCACTCCTGTAACGTATAACTTGCAAGTGTAAAAGGGTGATGTCCCTCTTGTAAAGTGACCTGCACCTACCCGGACAGTGGTGACATCATTCCTGTAAAATGATGATCTCGATCTTCACCTCTATTGTCAAACAAGGTTACATTTCTCCATTGAAGCCCAGATAACAGTAAAAACCCACCAAAAGTTTTAAACCTTCCCCATTCAATCTAAAACTAACTAAAAATAATATGGGTTTATAAGATTTGCAAATCTCTGCAATCTGTTTTTAGATGTAGATTTTGGAATTGGGGGTTGTAGTATATTCTGCCACAATATTATGATTTTTATCCACCATTTGTGTATCTTATAAACATGAGCAATGATATTTTCATTTTGCTTCTTACGTATACTATTACTGTTATTTTTTTTTTCTTTCGTGATTCTACTTTTGTTCTAGGGGACCAGTGTTTTGTCTCCAATGCTACACATTGGCGCCGTCATTATTTTAGCGACAATGATTTACAAGAAATCAGCTGTACAGCTTTTTGAGAAGCATCCGTGCCTTTACATTCTTGCGTTTGGATTTGTTTCTGCAAAAGTGACAAATAAGCTAGTGGTAAGCAGTCTATTTCACTTGCTTAAATAAAATCTTGTTATACAAACTTGTTACACTGGCCATATAATAGGATCTGTGTATGTTACTAAGATCAATTGAGTTTGATGTTTGACATTTTTTTCTCACTTAAATTCTCTCCTTTCAGAATTTAAAAATATTTATTATAGAGTCATTGGGGCAATTCAATAAAGGCTTAGTGTCACTTTTCTGGTGGTCCTGCTCAAATTAAGAAAAGCCCTATTGCCAGATTCGATAGCTTTACCCTATTCAGGCAGTTCTTAATACCACCACTTTAAGAATCTGTCGCTATGGCTATGACAGATTCAAAAAGAATCACCAACCAGTTTATAGATTGGAAAACTGGATTAACTCGGACCAACTCTGATCTTGTGTTCAGAGAGACCCCATTGCTTAGAGTGAGACATGTATGTACTAAAAAGCTGCCATAAGTCCTATAAATTGGTTGCTAAGACACTAGGCCACCGGTGTCGTAGCAACCAATTATACATCCTTTAACCCATTTGGATGCTGGACAGGAGATTCCCCAGCCAGCACCTGAATGTAAAGAAACGGGCAGGGGATTATGGCTGACATCATGTCACCCAGCATCCCCACCCCTTTGTTTACATTTAGCTATGGGCCAGGGAGTCTTCTATCTGGCAGCTGGATAGGGCCAGGGATGAGTCTTTGGTTGCTAAGATGCTGTCAGCTACACAGCAACCAATGACTTGGCTGAGTGGGCTTACCTTGATGGGGAAGCTGAAGGGCTAGTTCCATATCAGGTCTGACTCCCTTGTAACTGACAGGCAGTGAGTGGATTTCGTAGCCAATAGCCAGCCTATGGAATCTGCCCACTGCCTGCTGTCAATCAGCAGCAGAGTGGAAATGATGGGAACTATTCCCTCAACATCCCTATCACTGTTACTGAGAGACAGTGAGGACTAAGTGTCCATACTCTGGCTTCAGTGTGCCTCCGCACCACAAATGGCGGCACTTGTACCAAAATCATGTACCTGTTTCCAACATCTTGGGCAAACGCAGACATTTGTCATGCGGTTCCACAATGGAATTCTAAAGAGTGCCAGAGACAATCTTTATGAATTCCCCCCGTTATTTTTTGCATGAAATAGGCATGTCAATTTTAAAAGCTTGATTTCTGAATATCTGTTTTATTTAATCTTAGCAAGTTTTATTTTATCACTACCACAAATAACATTTTCCTGCTCCTATCGGTAGCAACTCATTGACACTCCTAGTTATTGCTAGCCTCAACTAGTAGATCTGTTTCAGTACTTGGTTTGGGCCCCTTCTGCAGCACTTACTGCAATTACTTTTGCACGATATTCTAATTATTCGAGTTTCACCTGTAAATACTATATACCTCACAGTCAACTTACAGTTAATATATAGTAGTATGTTGTGTGATAAGTGTCATAGTGAAAATATTACATTATATGTAAATCTTAATTCCTAATATTGTTACTTTTGTACTATGATCCTCTGTCCCTCATAATATACATTTTGCTTGCTTTTATTTATATAGTCTGTTTAAGGCACAATAGATATCTGGCGATCCAGTCCCCTTACTTTTCTTTAGTTTCCTGACCATGCTAAGAACAGAAGCAGATTCATGCTAGCGTAGTTCGTTTGCTACCTTTTATCTGCTAATTGAACTTACAGGAAGCCATGCTGATACATGGCGTGCCGGTAGTCTAGTAGTCGGCCTGTAGCCTCCCACCCAGCTCTTTTCAGCTTCATGGCCCCCAGTAGCATCAAGCTCAGTAAAGAACTGACATCAGAAATGAGCCCCATGGTCATGTGACTGCCTGAATACATTCAATTTAAAGCTATTTGCCTGCATTTTTCTACTTTTGTCAAGGGGCGTTCTAACAGCCTAATTTTTAAGAGCAGACTTCACAAAGTATTCTAGCAGAAGCATTAAAATCTTTTTTTTTTTTTTTTAATCCTGTCTGATTCTTTTCATGTATATAATCTATATAAATGTTTTTGAAAAGGTTTCGTTCTTCTAGTGCATTTTTTTTGTGGCCACTTCTCTTGTCAGATTTAAAGTCTCCAATGGAAGAATGCATTTCCTTCTAATTTTCATATTTCCCTTTTGGATACAGGTTGCACACATGACAAAAAGTGAAATGCATTTGCATGATACTGCTTTCATCGGACCCGCCTTGTTGTTTCTAGATCAGTATTTTAACAGCTTCATAGATGAATACATTGTACTGTGGATTGCTTTGGTAAGTTTTTTTTTTTTTTGTTTTTATGTTATCTATTTATTCCTATTGTTTGTGCCATTTTTTTCAGGTTTTGTACCCATTTTTGTGGCAGCAAACCAACTGTACAATCCATTCTCATTTATGTGGCCAGCAATGTAGTTTTCAAGTATAGTGGAATGCAAACATGGTGTTGTCTATTCTTTTGGTAACAAAGATTAGGTCAAATCATATGGCATGCCTTTTATTTTTAAGATGTTCTCTGGACACATGTCAAAAGTAATATGCACAAAGGAGAAAACCCCTTTGCTACGCTAACAGATACCCAGAGTCAGAGGTACCTCCGTGACTAAGAGCATCTCTGCCCGCACACCACACACTCTCAGCCGCATACATTCACCCAGTCACTGGCCGGGACACAGTGTAGGGGAACAAACGTGTAAACCTTTATTGAGCAACAGCACACATTTTATAGCTCACAGATCCCACCTCCCTTAAGTAAGATTACATTATTTTATAGGAAATGGCTAAAAGGGTAGGGATAAAGGAATTGTCAAGGTGAAGTCAGTAGGCTGGTATGCTATGTTAGCGAGGCAGATTTGATTATGCAGCTGGAAATGTAAACATGAACATCTGAATGCAAATCAGCATGCACTCATAAATACACACATGGGTATATTTAAATCGCTGGGCTGTTAGAAGAAAACTATTCTATGGAAGTTGCTGTTGTGGACCTCTCCTTCTGAAATGCTAGTTATCTGGCTTTCAAGCTGATCCAGTGGCTTCCATACTGCTTGTTCCAGGTTTTATGATGCCATAAAATCAATCTTGTGCCAGAAGTGTAAAAGGTATAGTTGGGCTACTATCAGTGGTGAACTCAGCCCTACAATTCTCGGGAGCTGACTGGGTGATAGCTCAGATACATAGATCCTGGTTGTCTCCCCAGCGCGACCTGCGAGCGCATGCAGTTGCCTTTCTAGATGGGACTGGCTGCGATTGCTCTGTGCCTGCAGGGCGGCCTATTGCAATTCCTTCTCCACCACTGGCAGTGCATATGGCGGAATAGACCAGTTGGGTCCGTCACAGTACCACCTCTGGCCTGCGGTGCCCAGACTGCAGTCGGAGGCGTTCTGCTAACGGGGATGCCCTGCCTTGTCCAGGTAAGTTTGTTTTCCTGCTGAGGGACCGGTTGTGCTGGTCTTCCCTTGCCAGTGGGACTACAAGTGCCCAAGCCCTAGTCCCAGGACTCCTCAGCGCTGCGGAGCTTTGGTTCCTCCCCTTCTCTGATCCACTGCCTTTGCACCCTGGAGACCAGGATTCCTTTATTACCAGCCCCACTCATGGTGTGGTGGCCTCAGCGGCAGGGTTGCAGCTGCCATTTTTTTCTGCATCCTGATTGATGTGGCTTGCGGAGGAGTTCGGCTCTCTCCCCTTCTCAGAGCACTGGGAAAGCTTTGGAGCCAGCAGAGGTGGGCTCCCCAGGGCTCTGTTGACCTGTCACCCTGACTCCGGGGTATTTTTCCATATGTAATTAGCGCGGCTTGAGGATGAAGCCCCGGCCGCCATCTCTGCTGAGGGCTTCTGCCCTTCTGTTGCCTCAGTACGCAAGTATGCTTGGGAGCCGGAAAGGGGGGGGGGGGCGTTTTCCGATTTGCGCGTGCTATACAACAGCCTAGGACAGTGACTTGGTTTTCCCCCATGTGGCATCTGCAGATTTTTTGCATGCGCCTGCTAGGGGACAAGAAGCAGTCTGGGGGCAGTGAGTCTCTATTGGTCTGTTCTCCATCTGCTAGCCAGCCTCCTTCTCTTTTCTCCTCGGAGGTGTTTGACCATTGCTGATCCAGAGCCTGTGGTGACGGTGGATCTGGACCTGTAATTTTTTGATAGTGAAGATGAAATTCGCTCAAGAGAAAGGAGTTGGTCCCTGATCACAGCGGTCAGGGAGACTCTTAAAATCGAGGAGACACCTACATCTTCTAAGTATTCAGCTGTTCCGTTTGGTACTCACAAACATAAAAAAGCCTAGTTTTTCCTTTTGATTCCTTTTTTGATGATTTTATCTATAAAGACTGGGCTTGTCTGGTTCGTCCTTTTACCCTGCCGAGGGGGTTTTCTGTCCGGTATCCTTTTTGAGGAATCATATGTTAAAAAGTGGGCGACTCTGCCGATGGATCCTCCAATTTTCAAGATTAATAAGGCAACGGTAATTCCAGTTGAGGAGTCTCAGCCTCTGAGGCAGGCCGAGAGTATAACGCGTTCGATGCATACGGTAGCTGGTGCTCTGATTCAACCCGTCTTGGCGTTTGCCCTGCTCTCGTAGACACTGACAGTGTGGGCTAAGCTTTTGCATCAAGGCCTGGCAGTGGAGCAGGTTTCCCCTGCATATGTGTAGTTGGCAGATCAATTTGTTTGGGGCTTCATGTACATTTTGTTTGTAACATGGCTTTTGATTTGGGTCATCTAGTTTCCCTGACTGCCTTCGCGGTAGTCCTTTTTGGATGTCTCTTATAGCTTAAATGTTGGTCAGTGGATCAGACTTTTAAGAAGGCTTTGACTAAAATGCCCTTTGTGGGAGACCATTTGTATTGCACCCCATTGGACGAGATCATTAAGAATCTCACAGATGGTAAGAGTACTTTTCTTCCACAGTTTAAGAAGGCGAGGGAGACTCGGCAGAAGTCCGGACCCTCTTTCTCAGCTCACACGTGCATTTTTGTGGCCAGGGAGCATCGGACAAGTGGAGGTTGGATGGACCGCACGCTGCCCCTGGTAGCCCATACCAGGGCTGCCAGGGGCGGAATTTCATGTTTCAGCTCTTTCTGCTGTTCACATCCCAGACATAGGCCTGATACGCGGACATCATTTGTCTGGTTGCAGACGCTCCCTGATGCCTTCCCCTTCACCCAGCTCTGCTGTTGCAGGGTTCGATCCTGCATCCTGCTTTACCATTGTTGGCTTTATAGGCATAGCTGTTGGAAGCCAGGTGTTGAAGGGGAGGAGTCTTTCTCAGGCGGTTATTCCTACAATGTTGAGAGCTTGTAAATCCACTTCCCGGATTATCTACTATAGCACCTGGAAGTCCTTGGTGCGAGTCTTGTGGTTTTCACACACCATTCTCCTTGCTTTCTCCCTGGTGTACAAAAACCATGCATGATGAACCAGAGTTCATAATTTTTCTTACTGCCACTCAACCTGTCCAATCTTTAGCTTGACATCTTCTCTGGTCTTCTTATGTTGTGGCTTTGCATCAGTTTTTGTCAGAGTTTCCTCCAGTTTCTAAGTGCCCTTTTAAATGTGTAGAAAATGGTACTCCGTGCCACCTTGACTCTTTGCAGTTTCTTTAAAGGCCTATCTGTCTGACTTTTTGTAAATTGCCTTTTTATCACTATTATGACATTAAACTGCTTCCTGCTTTGCAATATTGCCGATATAATGCTTCAGAGTGTAGTAAGAGTTGAGCCCAACACTGCTTTTATACAGACAAAGTTTGTAAGTTATCATAAAAGAAAAATTGGGAAGCATGTAGGAATGCATCTATGATCAAGGCTACATATTCCATTGCTGCAGAAAGGCTGTTAGTTGCTAACCCATTATGTTTTCCCTGAATGTCCTTTTTGCATAACATTAAAATATACATTATTTTAACATTTTGGTAACTCATACTTTTTTTTTCTAATTATTTTTAAGCCTCTGGCCACTTACCAACCTTGGTATTATTTCTGGTATTTAGAATATGGTACATATTATTTAAAGAAATACTAGTTGCAATTACTTTTTCAATACTTTTTTACAGGTACTTTCACTCATCGATTTGATCCGATACAGTGTGAGCGTCTGCAATCAAATAGCTTCTCATCTTCACATTGAAGTTTTTAGGATAAAAACAACTGGCTCACATTCTAACCACCATTAAGTGACCTAAACCAAGGAGGAGAAATGCATGATTCATAAGAGAAGACATGGCAAAATCCAAAACAAATATTTCAGTGTCAATGAAAATGTTTTGTTCTAATTCTTTAAGCCCTAGTTTTCTATGTAAATGGCATAATGTTTTGGTTTTACGGCGGCACATCATTACAGTTCTGAAAGGAGTCGGGCATGAAAAGAAAATAAGTTGATTTTGGTTTTTGAAAAACCCTGAAGCCTTTTAAATATGCTGTATTTTAAAGGACACAACGAGATCTTAAAAGATAACTAATGTGAACACATATTAATGCTCCTTATATGTTCACTTAGTGTAGCTTGACCTCTGCATATAACTGCAATTTTCTAATACTTTAATAAAGTCTTGGGAGCTGCCATTTTACTGAAGAGTTTGCATCTGCGAACACTTTCTTAAACATCACTTTAACTAAAACTTGTTTACAAGTAGGAAAGGGTTAAAGTTATGGTGAGGCTTTATTTGCTGTCTATGTTTGAGAGATCTAGTCTCTCTAGTTGTTGAGGAGACCATTATCACCAGGAACAAAAGTGAGGGGTAATCGAAACCTTTTACAACTTTCACCTAAAGTAGAGGAAGTCTTCCAATTCGGACATCTGTTCTGGTGACGGCTGTCAAAGGTGTAGTTTCCCCTAATTTTGGGGAGATTTCCACTTCGTTATATCTCCAGGAAGGAAGTGAGGGGAAATCTCCTAAATGGAGACAAACAGTATATTGGCTAGTGTAAGATGGAGTTAAAAAAAGTTTTTTTTTTTTTTTTTTTTACTGAGGCTCATGGGAGAGATTTCCCTTCACCTCCTGTCTGGAGACGCAAAAGAAAGTAGCTGGAAAATAGAACAGGTGTCCACACTTGAAAAGCCTCTATCTATTTTTGTTTCATTGACCCCATTGGAAGATTTCCCTTCTGTTCTTGTTCCAGGATTCCCCATTACTTTCTGTCCAGGTAACAATGGTCACCATATCTCTAGGGGGTTTACATATGGCAAAACCTAGAAAGGGTTTTAACCCTCCCACAATATCCAAAACTAAAAAAAAAAGTAATGGCTTCATATACAGTATACTTTAAAGGTAAACCTATTTTATATCGTTTTTGACATTTCCTTCAATGTGTTACATAAAGTGTAAATTGCTTCTATCGGGTGGTCTCTTTTGTCAACCTGTTGTTGGGGGCAAGCTCAGGCTTGCTGTAAAAACAGCCTATGCCTATTCTCCGAGAATTTGAATGTACAACTCCTGGTGAAAACCTTTTTTGTAGTATTGGATTGTGGGAGAATTGGCACCTCTGGCAGCTGTCTATGTGTCTGATGAAAAGACTTTCTACCACTTCCGGGCATAGTGACACACAAGTAAATGCTTTCAAAGGAAACACAGTAATTAATATCTGACCTTTCCTGAAGCAATCCAAAACTCAAAGTGTTGCCTGGTTCTACTATAAAAGCCCCACCCTGGCATAAAGAAAATGTACCCTTGCAGTTTGTGCCTCCATGCACTGCAATGGTTAAATGTCTAGGGGTAGAGGAATACGATGTTTTAACTATTCCTCTCTCTGGCTTCCATCAAACTGTGCAATCAGTCCTTGCTTCTCTTCAGTGCTCCGTCTGACAGTCACGCTCTGACATTTTCATGTACAATGTAGGACCAGCACGTGAGGGTGGAGAGGAGGCCAAAGTGAGAAATAAGATCTGTATTACAGCTTATTCCTCTACCCCTAGACTTAACAAGTATTTAACTCTTGCAGTGTTGGGGCCCACTGCAAGGGTTTATTTATTTATTTATTTTTTAATCCTTGAGTTCAGCATTAGGTGTATGTAGAAGTGTAAATTAGTAGGGCTTGGGTGTACAAGACGTAAAGCAGCATGCAGGCTTGCTGTTATGAGCAGAAGGTCAGCCTTTATTGCAGATTTTTCTTGACATTTCCATGGCATATCCTTTTTTAGTAGTCAACATGCGCTTGTCATTTAAAGCAATTCTGTACTGAGTAAGAAAATAACCCTGCTGCAGTGTGGAAGCAGGCACCATAATGTGCCTTCTCTTATTTTAGGCCCCTTGCCACAGCTCAGCCTGCTGTAGGAGGCCATGAAATCCATTTGCAACTAACACCTTTCTGAAAGCTGATGGTTAGTGTTGGTTATGTGTTTTAGATGAAGCACTGAGATCTTAAGGAATGCTGAATTCCGTTTTGATTGCCTAGCAGGACATTACATGTATGTATACAGGAATACAGCATTATAGAGCATAGAAGAAGGAAAAATATAGACAGATGCAACTTCCTGTATACATAAGCATAGAGACCACCACTGCACCATAGAGCCACCTATAGCTCAAAAGACAATATTACATCTCTGAATGTCACTAATACAAATCGGTGTATGCTGTTGTATTTCCAACATACAGAAGTCTGATCAGACATCTTAGCCTCCTGTGACAGCACTTTGGTCTAGCAATGGGCCATTTAGGCTTGAGCAATGACTTGTGGAAGGCAGAGGGGTGCATAATGTGTTAGTTTATACCCAGAGGCTATCAGGCTGCAGTGGCTGTCTGTCGGGGGGGAGTAATGGTAGGTTAAGAGCAGCTTACCCACTGAAGTTTAATTACTTGGATTCATTACATAGTGGTTTCAAATGAAAAGGAAACTAAAGGCAATATTAAAACTAAATTAAATTAGACTCCTTTTTGCATTTTCCTGCTGAGCAAAACTTGTTTGATTTGTGTACAAAAACGTCTTTGGGTGCTATCCAACTTCTAGTCTCTATAATCTTCCAGCCCTCTTAGGCAAAGAAGGAAGGTTTGTGTAATTTGGTTCACTCAGCACAACTACAGAACGAAAGCTTCCATTGGATGTCATTCCAGTAATGAGTGACAAGGCTGCATTAACACTTGTTCCAAAGTGACTTGAACAATGATGTCCTTCTACTTCTCTAGCTACATGCTGTTCCTTAGTAATTGATTCACTAAGTGGTAAAACAAGGATCAGGATGACTGCTCTGGAAATTGCATTTTCAAATACAAGCCAATACAACCGGACAGATTTTCTTTAAGGGCAAGACCAGTCCAAACTTTTAGATATAGGAGATGGCCAGACCTGAAATTGTAAGCAGATATAAAGGACCCTCACTTAATCCAGTATTCAGTAAACCTATTTAATTGTCTTTATACTAGCCTCCTGTAATCACTTGTACATCAGCATTCAGAATGGGAAAGGAAAGAACAGTGCTTTCAACCAATCAGGCTTTATTGCACAGTTTTCTAAAACTAACAAATGGTTCTGATTGGGAGACCAGTAATGTCACTTAATCAGTGAGTTTATTTTCCTTCACTATGCAATTACTTTTTTTTTTTTTCCATCAAGCTGTTTGTTTTGACTACATTGAAGAGGAGTAAAAGGTCAGTACCCTGGCAATAATGTCTGACAATGATTCTGGAATAGAACAATGAACGGATATTTTTTTTCTTGGCCAAGAAGGATAGTGTGCACATATGTACTTCAATTGTGTATTTAGCCATTTTGTAAAACTTTTTTAAGAAAGTGAAATGCAGACATATAATCTTGTAGGTAATTCACTCATTGCGATCTACCATATTAAGTTTGGCTGGAGTAACTCCTTACATTTCCTTGAATGAAGTTTTCAGTTTCAACCTGAACACAAGAAGCTGGGACTTTTTAAAACTATAACTAGGCACATGGTAATTTTCTGACAACTCCCTTGTCTAAACCTAGCCTTTAGAATTATCCAATATTCATCATTGACAACCTCATAACGTAAAGCCATTGTGCTCTGTCATACATCATAAATGGCCACTCTAATAGGTCATAGCTAAATGCAAATAATTTTTACGAGAGTGGCTGCGTCAAGGTGGGAAAAGACATGCCTGCACAATAAAGTGACAGTGGTCAGCTTTTGTAATCCTCCCCAAGTAGGTCTATTTCAGGTCATTTTCAATATTAACAAATGTTAGCATAGTGCAAGTTAAAGCTGAACACCACACACACATGGCTAAATACACAGCTGAAACCTATACAGATATGGACAAATTTATTGGTATGTTTTAATGAAAAAAGACAAAACCACACTTTTAAATAAACTGAAACTGGCAAAGTAATTGGCATTCATCATTGTTTATTGCATCATTAATAAAAATCATACCTTGTTTTTGATTTAATAGAATATTTTAAACAATAAGACAAAAATGATGGACCCTTAACCTTATATTTTGGTCCACTCTTCTTGAGCAAACTGCTCCAGCTGTAAAGGGGGTCTTCTCCCAACTGCATGTTTCAGCTCTTCCCGTAGATGTTCGATAAGATCCAAATCAGGGCTCTTAGGCCATTTCAGAAGAGTCCAATTTTGTTCCTAGCCATTATTGGCTGCTTCTAACTGTGTGTTTGGGTCCCTATGCTGTTAAGAGGACCCATGACCTGCGACTGATATAGACCTTTCTGTCACAGAGCAGTATGTTTCGCACCAGAATTCCTTGATAGTCTGAAGATTTCATTGGGCTGTGCACAGATTAAAGGCTCCCTGTGCCAGATGCAGCCCCAAAACATATGACCAATTCTCCTTATTTTATAGTAGGTATGGAGTTCTTTTATTTGAAAGCTTAATTTTTTTTAATTATCTGCGAACATGGAGCTGATATGACTTGCCAAAAAGCTCCAGTTTTTTCTTATGTGTCTGAAGGACATTCTCCCAGAAGCATTGTGCCTTGTCAATATTCATTTTAGCAAATTCCAGTCTGGTTTTTATATGGTTTTCTTTGGAGTCCTCCTGGGTTGCTTCCTTTCAGCCCACTGTTGCTTCTGGCTGGGAGATGGAGGTAGACCAACTCTATAGGAGTCTGTGGGGCTCTACTGTGCAGCCATGGTCAGCAGAGAGAGGACTTTGGCACAGGATGTAAACAAGCACGGGAGACCCTGAGTGCCAGATTTCAGTAAGAATGCATCTGTCGAGAGGGAGAGTGGGATTGGTTAGATCAGGGGAGGGGGGCAAAAAGACATGTTCTCTAAAAGTGCACTTATTCTTTAAGTTCACCACACTCTTCA